GAGTGTTTGGCCGGGGACTGGAGTCAAAATAGGCGGCCTTGGGATTCAAAGCAAAGCCACCTCTTATGTGCTACACCAACTCAGGAAAGTTGTGGACACTCACCACTGAGTCAGAAGTTCTTCAAGGGGGGCCTGAGCTAGATATCATGATCAGGGGCCTTCTCCCCCCTGCCCACTAACCAATGCTCCCTCTAAGCTGTGGAGGCTTGTGAGCAAAAATTCTACTTTGTGAGCTCCTGGCATTAAAGTTGTGAGCGAGCGAGCAATTGGGCTTTTGCATAAATCAGTTTGCTCTGGAGCCGTCCTTCCTGAGCTAAGACACAAACATGTGAGCCGAAGGCTAAAAAATGGCGAGCTAACTCACATCAACTCAGCTTAGAGGGAACACTGCCACTAACTTACCTGTCCGAGGTGTTGCAAGCCTCCGCTGAAGGGCACGGCTGTAGGCTTCCGCTGGCCAGGCGAGAGCGGTACAGGAATGCAGGGGCCCACAGTGCAAGGGAACCCGTGACGAAGGCCACGGCCGTGAAGCCCAGAGACGACAACACAAAGCTGCGGCTGGCGGACAAGGAGAAAGGGAAGCCAAATGAATGCCCTTTGGCCCTAACAAGATGCCTTGCAGCTAAGCCAACGTTTGGGGGCAGGTTTATTACACTGAGATCTGGGCTCTCTTTCCCATCGTGGAACTCAAGGCGGACCCTACGTGGGGTCTCCGGGAGAGCTCTCATCCAGGCGCTGACCAGATCAGGACCAAGCAGGCAAGCTCCTCCCTTGACAGCAACATCGAGTAATGATGAGCAGGTGAGCCAGTCCGGACTGCTGTCACAGGCAGAACTCATGCATGCACAAAGCTTTTCAGGGGACTCTGCTCGCACATTCACAGTTGCCAGACTTCAAGAGCCGATCAAGCAACCTCAATGCAGGTGCAGACCATTGCTGTGAACTGCACAGCTATCCCAAGACAAGATATCCTAGGCTACAGATGGTTAAGACGCAAGAGAAGTCGACCCTGGGAGCGGGAGGTTTTGGCACCCAGCCTGGATAGAACTCTCAGGCCAGGAGACCCAGCTGTGGCATCCTGGCCTGTCTCTCCACTTGCGGCTTGCAAGCAACCTGTACCAAGGCAGTGGGAGCGACTGATGTGCCACGGCCTACACACTGGCACTCTTTCGTACCATGGACTCGACTTCTAGCACGTTTACAAGGCTGTCTAGCCATCAGTCCTAAAGCAACGGGGTGACATTTTCTGCGTTGGATCAGAACCGTTATTCCACTTGATTGAACCCCACTTCCCTCCTCAAAAAAGCCCCTATCGTGTGTGGGTTTTGTCCACATGGGATCTGTCTTTCCTGGCAGGGAAAAGGAGCCCTTTTCTCTCTATCTCATCAGCAGAAAGGCTGGTAGGAGCCAGCCCGACATCTGCACAGGACGGTTTTGTCACTGACTTGACAGCCAAAGCCACAGTGGCTTGTTGCAGAGGATTCTGGGGCAGAAGCCGTGGCTCATGTTCTCCTCATGGGCCTGACATCAACCAAAAACATGTCTCAGGACACCCCTTCTCTGTCTGCTCCCTCATCTGTGGTGCCTCAGAGGCTCCGGGGGAGCAGATGTGAAAATGGGGGCAGGCAAGGGAGGATGGAGTTTCCAGGACCTGAGCACAAACCAAGGGGTCAGCACAGGGGGTCAGCTGACACCCAGCGCGCCAGTCACGCAAGTGATGATGCTAAAGATGAGGCTGTCCGAAGGTGTTGCAAGCCTCCAATGTAGGGCAAGGCTGAAGGCTTCCGTTGGCCAGGCGAGAGCGGTACAGGAATGCAGGGGCCCACAGTGCAAGGGAACTCAGATGAAGGCCATGGCCGTGAAGCCCAGAGATGATAACACAAAGCTGTGGTTGCTGCTGAGGGCCTGAGGTCAGTTATCCACGAAGTATACTGCAGGGGAACGTCGGAGTGCGTCTCCACGGCGCCCCGAGGCGGCTCACGCACCACAAACACCAGCAGCAGCACAGCCAGGAGCCCTAAGCCAGGTGTCACCTGAAGGGGAGAGCAGAGGAGGCCAGTATTCAGTGCAGGCAAATAAGGCCCTGTTTGTGGGGGAGAAGGTGCGCCAAACGTTTGGTGAAAAGGGGATCCTGAAAATGACATGTAAAAAAATGTATTCAAGGCCATAAATGTTGACAACACAACATCGACAGCCCACTCTACTTACCCGCAGAGCCCAGTGCCAGTCACCAGCCAGTGTTTTCACCTGTGATGCCACAATGTAGCCCAGGCCACTGCAGGGAACATAAGAACATAAGAGACGCCAATGTTGGATCAGGCCAAAGGCCCATCCAGTCCAACACTCTGTGTCACACAGTGGCCAGAAATACTGGTGCGAGGTCCACCAGTGGGGCCAGGACATTAGAAGCCCTCCCACTGTTGACCCCCCCCCAAGCACCAAGAAGACAGAGCATCACTTGCCCCAGAGCCCCTATCTATACCTTGTGGCTAATAGCCACTGATGGACCTCTGCTCCATATGCTTATCTAATTCCCTTTTGAAGCCGTCCATGCTTCCATGGAAGGAAGAGGGAGCAGACAGAACCTCTCCTCCCTAGCAAGCTTGCCAGCCTCCACAAGAGCCAAACACTCATTTGGTTTCTGCCTCTGGTTTAACTTAACCTGTGGATTATCGAAGTGCACCGTGGGCTGTTCTGGTAGAAAAAGCGTCTAACTGGCAGTAAAGCGGTATTCTGATTGATAGTAAGCAAGCACTAAGAGGCAATGTTCAAAAGCTCAGCAGAGACAGACACTTCAGTGTTCCCACCTGCCTACTGGTATGGCAAAATAGAAGATGCTGAGCATGCGGGATCGCCGGTCACCCACGAAGAGGTCAGCGATAATGGTGGGGGCAATGGTGGAGTAGCTGGCCTCCCCAACACCCACCAGGCCTCGTGTCAGCAGCAGCAGCCCGTAGTACTAAAATGGGAAACAGAGAAGAAATATCAGAACACCCCAAAGGCACAGCTGTTCCGCAAACTGAGTATATCCCCTAAAGAACCCTGTGAGCTGTAGTCATAAGTAGGTGCTGAGAATTCTCCCAACAACATTTCCTAGGGCAACTTGGCCAGGGACCGAGAGAACTGAGCAGGTTTAAACTTGTTAAGACACACCCAAAGCAGATTATAAGAATGATTAAAAAAAAACGTTCAGTCAATCAGTAATCTATTGACTCTAACCGTGAAGATCCCTAGTAGGATAAAAAACAGAGAGACTGCAGACTGCAGGGGGGACAGACGGACTCAAACAATGCATGCAAACAGATAAGACAACAGTACAATCAGCATAAGGAAGACTTTATCCCTAATGAAAACCTCCTCCTGAGCTGACCCATTATGCTGCAGCTTTGAGAACGGCAGACTACACACAAGAATAAGGAAATGAATAAACTCAACCCACCACCAGGCTTAAAGACAATCACTGGTTTAGAATACGTTAAAAAAATCCACCCTCCTTCAAGTGATCAGGTAGGAGCCTTGCTCAGCAGGGATCTCAGGGGCTACTGAGAATTTGTACAGCTGGTCGAACAGAGCAAGGGTTATTGCCCTGAAGCACGGATTTCAGGCAAACTGCCACGAGAATGCCCCAAAGGGCACCAGTGCCAGATCCCTCCCCCACCTTGTGAGCCCAGAAGTGTGGGTAGGGAGAGCATAGGAAGGAAAACAAACACATCCAAAATCCAAACCCTGGATAAAAAATCCACAGTCTTCTCAAGTTACACAAAACTGTTCCCACCCCCCTGCTGCACCCACCCCACCCCCATACCTCTTTAGGGATGAAGCTGCTCCCCAGAGTCACACCTGACCAGAAGGTGATCCCGACACACATCAAGTACTTGCGATTATACCGATCCCCCAGGTAACCGAAGATTGGTGCCAGTACCATGTAGCTACAAATAAAAACTGCCAGGAGAGAAAACTGGTTAGGAGAATGCAGAATGCCCATCGGCTCTCCTTCTGCTCCTGCTCCAGGGGAGTGCTGCCCCTACAAAACACATGCAAGGGAGGGAGGAGGGAGGAGGCAGGCAACCCAGAGTTCAGGCCCTTCCCCCTGTTCTTTACCTGTCTGTATAAGTCCTGATTTGCTGTCACCAATTTTAAAAAACTTCTCAATGTCAGGGAGAACACCTGATACAAAGCAGGAAAACGGCACTTAATGTCCAGGAAACAAAGCAAAGTATCTTCATTCTGCAAAACCAATGCTCACCCCCCACAAGTATCATTTTAAAAATAAAAGCTAGGGAAGAATCTAAGGGGCCAGTCCCTCAGTGTTCCACAAACTACATCCCCCACACACCCTCTCCACATCATATAAAAAGGTAAAGGTTCCCTTGCTCGAAAGCCAGTCGAATCCGACTCTAGGGTTGCGGTGCTCATCTCCGTTTCCAAGCCGAAGAGCCAGCGCTGTCCGCAGACGTTTCCGTGGTCATGTGGCCGGCATGACTAAACACCGAGGCGCACGGAACACTGTTACCTTCCCACCGAAGCGGTACCTATTTATCTCCTTGCAATTTCTTGCTTTCGAACTGCTAGGTTGGCAGGAGCTGGAACTAGAGACGGGCGCTCACTCCGTCATGCGGCACACTCGGGTCCCGAACTGCTGAACTACCGACCTTCCACAGCCTACAGTTCAGCGTTTTAACCACTTGATCCACCGCAGCTCCACATCATTATACGTGGGGACTAAAATCCCAGCTCCCACCCCACTTTCCAAGCTCACCCCTCAAACATCCTCACCAGCCACGGTGAAGCGGTCCATGTAGTTCAGGAGGTTGATAAAGCAGAGCACCCCCACGATTCGGACAGCGTGCGAAGTGGAGATCCCCGTGATGGTCTGCACATCGGCCTCCTCTTCCCTCTCAGGCTTGGCCTGAAGGCCCTCCTCGTCCTCCGTGTCATCGGGCTGGCTGAGGACGGGGGCCGTATCGGCATAGGGGAGCCACGGGGATGCCATGGCGGGGGACAGGGAGGGCCCTGCGGGGAGGGACGCAAGCAAGAGAGATCAGCGCCCCCCCCCCGACCCTTGAAGAGCAGACGGAGGGGAAGGGGCGGCAGGGGTGGGAACAGCCCCACCATTCACCAAGAATTAACGGCCTTCCTCATCCCCCCCAAGGGCCAGAACAGCCCCAAAGGTTCTCAGGTCCCAAATTCTTATCTTAACATGAGAATCGCCCAGGAAGGGACACCCCCGACGCTCACTTACCCTAGTCCTCCCCTCCTCAATGAGGGAAGCGGCCGGGTGACACCACGTGATATTTTCCCCTGCCTGCTCTCGCGTCACATGACCTCTTCTGTTTCCGTCGCCGCCACGGCTCGGCGACCCGGGTTGCCGTGGCGACGACGGGCCACCCTCTCCCTGCCTCCCGTCAACGTCTCGGAGCGAGCGACCGACAGGCGCTTCCCTTTCATCAGGGGGACTGCGGTGAGGTGACTTCGGCTGCTGGAGCCAATCTCCTCCCACGTTTGTTTTTCCCCGCCCTCGCCTTTGCGCAACCGCAACAACAAGCTCTTCCTCCGCGTGGGGCTCGTTGTCATGGTTACAAAGCAAAAGAATTCAGGTGGGTAGCCAGGCTGGTCTGGAGGCAGCGGAACAACGCTTGAGTCCAGCGGCACCTTTAACACCAACCAGTGTTCCCTCTAAGCTGAGTTAGTGTGAGATAGCTCACAGTTTTTCAGCCTCCAGCTCACAGATTTTTGTCTTCGCTCAGGAAGGACGACTCCAGAGCCAACTAATTTATGCAGTAGCCAAATTGCTCACTCACAAATTTCATGCCAGTAGCTCACAGAGTAGAATTTTTGCTCACAAGATTCCACAGCTTAGAGGGAACATTGACACCAACCAAGTTTTATTCTGGGTATAAGGCTTTTCTGTGCAAGCACACTGCTTCAGATACAGTGGTTCTCACATCTGTAGGACGAGGGAAAAAGAATGTGATTTCTGACACTCTCTCCTTGAGATAAATAGACAGCTATCACTGTGCCTTCGAAAGTTTAATCATAATAGATCCAGACCCTGGTATGTAACTTAGAAGCTTCTGATTAGAGAAACTTGTAGTAGAACATATATATTTTATAATTGCATTTCTGTAGGAGAAGCCATATTAAGCAAAAGCATTATTAAAAGCCTTTATAGATGGAATGCTATTAAGAAATTGCAAGGACGCCGAGAGCAAAGTTTAATGTGAATCAGAGTCCTTATCGGCTAGCTCTCCAGAAGTGAGGCCAGAAAGGGTCCCGGTGTTCTCTAATGCTCCCAGTGTTCTGAAGACCAGATAAACAAGTGTAATTACTGACACCAATGAGAGATGCACTGGGTCAAATGATGCTTCTATGATGTTAACTGCTTGATACCAATTAGAGATATTTTAATGTGTAAATTATATGTGATGTCATTTGGGGTATAAGACCTTTTGCCCTTCCTGGTTATGGTAGAATACGGCTTGGAATTGCTGAAGTGCTAAGGTACTCAGCCCCTGTATTCCCTGTTTCCATTGCAATAAACAGATTCATCTAACTTGTTGGACTCCGGCTGTGTGTTTCCAGTTCAGCCTCGGGAGCACACGGGCACAGATTTGTGCGTCACATCTGTTAGCTCTTGCATCTGTGTGCTAGTTTGCTGCCATTCATTGAACTTACTGGCCGCCTTGATACAATCTCAGCTTTACTTATGCATCTTGGCTCTGACTGGTCCTTTCTGACGGCTGCCGCCCCATCTTCCCATATGTAGGGCTCAAGGAAATTTTGTTTCACTGTATCTGAAGACTTATACCTTGAATAAAACATTTTGGTCTTGAAAGCTGCCACTGGTCTCAAAGTAAAAGAATGGCGATGAGCTTCATTCCATTCTGTTGCTCGCAACGTTAAAGACACACACGTTCAGAGGTCATTTCAGGGGGGATCGCAGTTCCCCCGGGGGAGGTACGGGGGGGGGGACATGACGAAGCCTCGCCCCCTGCTTTCGGCCACCCCGCTTCCAGCCCTCATTCAGCCAGGAGGAGGCAGGAGAAGAGGGAGGGTAAGTTGCTTCCTCCCTGCCTCTCCCCACCCCTGCCTGCCTGGGGCCAGGGAGGGCCTTCGCGGGGCTTCCTTGCACTCCCACCGGCCTTGCAGGTCCACCGTCGGGCCCCTCATGGGGCTCGGCAGTGGAGCTGCAAGGCCGGTGGCGGCGGCCGGGACCGTTGGGGGCGGGGTGTGTGGCCTTATGACAGAATGCCTGGCATGGTTTATTGTTTCTAACTCATCTGACTCCAGGTTGGAAAACTCTTGGGAGATTTGGGGTGGGGCCTGGGAAGGGACTTCAGCAGACACGCACACACAGTCCACCCTCCAAAGCAGCCATTTTCTCCAGGAGAACTGATCTCTGTAGGTTGCCAGCCTCCAGGTGGGTAAACAACAAAATACAACTGTGAGATCACGGTTCTGTGTTGTCGTTTACCATTCCAACCCGTGCTCTCTCTCTTCCTTTTAGCCTCCAGGTGCAGCCTGGGGATCTCCCAGGATTTCAGCTGATCTCCAGACCACAGAGATCAGTTCCACTGGAGAAAGTGTACTCTATACATTATACTTCCGCTGAAGGCCCTCCTCCACCCCCACCTTTTCCACTACAGTGAAGTCTGGAAATCAGTTGTAATGCTGGGTGTCACCAGGCCCCACCTGCATGCTGGCAATCCTAGCGCCCCATTTACACTTTTTCTCTTGGTATCTTAAGTAGTTACCAGTAACTTAAGTGAGAGCTAGCTTGGTATAAGGGTTAAAAGCAGCTGACTCTGATCTGGAGAACCGGGTTTGATTCCCCAGTCTGCCACATGAAGCCAGCTGGGTGACCTTGGGTCAGTCGCAGCTCTCTCAGAGCTCTCTCAGCCCCACCTACCTGACAGTCCGTCTGTTGCGAGGAGAGGAGGGGAAGGAGCTTTGAAGCTGCTCTGAAATTCCTTCGGGTACTGAAGGGCGGGGTATAAAACCAACTTTTCTTCATAAGTAAAAAATCTATTTGTTATGGATACTCCCTGCATCTGAGGGAGCGAGTGTACTGCTGACTCACAAAAGCTTCTGCAGATGTGTCGTCCTACCAGGCTCCTGCCCTTCTGTTGGATTTTGCTGCTGCATGGTTTTCTTGGCACTCCGGCAACATTCAAGTAGAACTCCAATTATTTGGCAGAGGTTGTCCCATTACGGTGTTGCAGAATTCTCTCATCTGCGCACCTACTGATGGCAGAAGAAGCCCCTGCTGCATATGAACTCGCATCCCAAGTACAAGGAAGATTTTTCTTTCTGGCACTTTGGAAACTGCCCCTTTCTTACGCATGATGACAGAAACCTTCGTAGGCCCCGGTCACACGGGCCGGAAATCGCGCTGGGGAGGCGTGGCTGTTTGCCCCGGAGTGAACTACCACGCGGCAGCGGGATCAAACGTCCCGACGTCCCGTGGTTGGGGGGGAGGTGCCGATCATACGTCACTCCGGCGCAGCAAAGAAGTGGATTGGCGGGTTTGTTTTTTTTTTTACCCAAGTGTTCGCATGCTCCGTTGGGTGCTTGTGCGCATCCCATGGAGACTTGGGGGGGGGAACCTTTTCGCGACGGGACATGGGCAGGCGCCGGATGCCACTGGAAACGTGATCAGACGCCCGCTCTTGCCCCGCGGTTTCCGGAAACTGGTACCTCGGAGGTACTAGTTTTTTACCCCGCATCTTCGGCAGGAAGCCTCAGGTGAGCCACGGCAGCTCTACGCTTCCCAGATGTGGCGCTGTGATAGGCGGATTTTCCGGGTGCTATCTTCCGTCTCTGTAGCATGGCTAATGCTCTGTGTGACCGGGGCCATGGACTATCAAGAGGACATTCTGTTCCCCTGATGAAAGAGGGAGGTGGGATGCCCCTTTGACCATCTAAAAGGCTATGGTGGGGATCATGGAATCTGGACAAAAGACACTTGGAACAGAAGGGGATTATGCAGGATGGAGTGAAAAAGCTGGCTGGATCCAACTCCCATTGCTGCAAAGAGTAGACACGCAAGAGAAGCCAGAAAACGTTTTCAGGAAAGCTTGAACGCTTTTGGCTTTTAGTCAAAGGCTTGCTGTTGCTTGGAGTGCAAAGTTCTCCGAAGAACAGGGCTGTTGGAGATGGCATCTTCTGCGCTCAGAGCTGCCATCACACCCTGTGCTGCATGGCTGGGATCCCACAGTAAGCCTTTACTACTAGGAAACGCTACTGTCAGCAGCACTTTTCCACCCTACACATCCCTCTGCAACCCAAAAAAACTGTTCTTAGAGAACAGGGGGGACACTTGGAAACGCTGCCTTTTCCATTAATGGAAACTTACCACAAGATCCAAGCCGTGGTTCACAACTTGGCGTACTCACCTGAGCCAACTACTTTAAGGAGGGGAAATCCTTGCATGCAGGCATTTGAGACCCCCCTTCAGAGGCAGACAGCCCAGTCCAATACATATTCATACACCAAAGTAAATCCAACTGAATTCAGTGGGACTTCTACCTAGGTAAATATATGTAACACTGTCAGCTAATGTACAAAGAAACTGGCTCTGGGCAGAGACTGAAACTGCGGATTGAATCATACCTGCTTTTCTGGTGGTGGGGGGAAAAAAGGAGGCTGCCCTCTCATCTACAAAAGGCCTATGCTGGGGGAAATGGGACCTGCATAGAAAAAAGCCATGTGGGAAAAGGGCTGCAATAAGGAGCGGAATTGGGTGAAGTTTAGAGAAAAAGCTGGCTGGAATCAACCCTATGATTTCATGACTGAGGGTGTGATTTCTATACTAGCCGTTTCCTCAAGGTGGTGGTAATAAACCCCCCACCTAAAGGAGATAATAAAGACAGAAGAAAGGGGCAGCCTATGCTGGGGAAAATGGGACCTGCATAGAAAAAAAGCCATGTGGGAAAAGGGCTGTAATAGGGAGCGGAATTGGGTGAAATTTAGAGGAAAAGCTGGCTGGAATCAACCCTATGATTTCATGACTGAGGGTGTGATTTCTATACTAGCCGTTTCCTCAAGGTGGTGGTAATAAACCCCCCACCTAAAGGAGATAATAAAGACAGAAGAAAGGGGCTTACAAGATGACTTATGGTGGATAGGGCCATCAAGTCACACCCGACTTCTGGTGACCCTGTACAGATTTCAAAGCTAAAGACAAACAGAGGTCGTTTGCCATTGCCTGCCACTGCATAGCAACCTTCTACTTCCTTGTTGGTCTCCCATCCAAGAAATTACCACGGCCCACCCTGCTTAGCTTCCAAGATCTGACAAGATCAGGATAGCCCGGACTAGCAGCAATAAATAGCAAGCGTAAGTACTTTTTTTTTCCTTTTTATTTTCCCCTTCTTTGACCAACAATGGCACTCATTATGACATTCTCTAATTTGTTTAAAGAAATGTGGATTTTCCCCTCTTCCTTTTCTAGTTTTATTTATATATTACAAAAGTATGTATATATATTTTTTTTAAAAGACATGTTTAAAATATCAACTGAGACCACACAGACTACAGTAAAAATCAACTCCCAACTCCTATAGGGCACGACAACCGTATTTAGGTGTCCTGACAAAATGTAGTTTGCACAACAAACCCCAGTTATGTCCCCACACATAAACAGTAACCACCCTCAGTTTATGCATAAAGCCTAGCTTGTCTGTTTCCTGCCAGTAGGGAGGATAACCTCGCCAGAACCGGACAGCCACAAGGAACAACTTTATTCTAACTATGTTGTGTGAATTCCGGAGTCACTCTCTGTGAATCACAGTTTGCACACCCTGGCTGCAAACCCTGCTTTGAAAGCCCAATCACCAAATTTTTGCTGGACTGTGTACGGTCCAGATGACATAAACAATTGGGTGCGTGATCAATCGACAGTTGACTGAACCAGGATTTATCAGGACCTCAGAATGCGGATTTGTCCAGTGCCAGACACCCGTTTCTCACCACTCCCATCCAAGCTGTGATATTAGGTCAATTTAAACAAATCGATTTCATTTGCAGCTTCCAAACATTCGGGATATGGAAAGGAAGTGAGAGGAGATGCCAGTCTTTTGCCTCTTGTGGCCCAGACAGGATAAAAAATGTAGGCAATTCCCCCACACCTGGGGTAGCTAAGTGACGTTCCTGTTCTTTGTTCCTCCACCCCACCCCCCCATAACAAAAGTTAAAATGAGGGTAGGTAAGAGGTAGCACGGATTGAAGTCTGACAGAGCTGGGATCCGGGTGGAGACCCCAAAGATGAGAGACATGGCCTCTCTGCCCAAGAGAGAAGGCTCTCTAGCTCCATACTTCAATGACGTCGCCACGCTCCATCCCCACGTCATCCGGGGTCCAGCTTTCTGCCAAACGCTGCCCGTCAAAGTAGAAGGTCAGTTTGCGCCTCCCAAGTCCTTGGGCCTGACGGTAGCGATTCATCAGTGTTCGCAAGGGCTCACTCTGCCAGGAGACAAGACACACACAGAGAGAAAGTGTAATGTATCCATCTCCGACCGCGTGCGCGGCTACGTCGCCACGTGGTCATGCGAAGCGGCTGAGCTTCGCTCTCAGTAACAATGGGGCAAGCAGATCCTAGCCCGCACCTATCGGAGGGCTAGGCTCCCGGCCGAGAGCCTATGGAACTCTCGGCCACTGTAAACAGCCAATCACGTGGGTGTGGGATTGTTGCACATATAAATCTGCCTGCAAGCCGATTAGAGTTGTCTTGTTCTGAGCTGAAATAAAGTATGAGAGCTGAACTCGCTAGTAAGTCTCAGTACTTTTCAGAAAGCGCTACAACATTTCTCTAACCCACCACAAGGGGAATGAATACCCTCAGTTGGAAGGCCCACCTTCTTCTGCAGGAACCTGCCCATTTCATGGAAGTCTGCACCAGAGGCCTTTCCCCTGGTCCTATCACCAGTAGTGGGGGAACCTAGAAAAAGTCCCTTCTCAGGTCCACCGCTGCATCTCCAGAAGTGTTTAGGTGCCAGGCAAAAGAATTTCCGCCCCCTCTGCTTTCAGAAAAGTATTGTTATAAGCTGGGGGCCCATGAGAAGTCACAGGATGGGGGAAATCATTTGGGAATTCCTCCTCCCCCGACCCCAAGACCTCCCCTTCCGGGATTCTACAGATTCCCTGGCCTGCTGAAGCCCCTTCCTGCCCTTTTCTCCTTTAACTGACTCTCTGCTGCTGTCAACACCTGGATGCTTCCTGGAACACATTCAAGTCCTCATCAGGATGCTTTTGGGGAGGAAAGGGGGGGTCCCCTTTAGGTTAATTTATGAAGTGACATTTTCCTGTATACTGGGGGACACTCCCAAACATGCAGACACCCCTGGTCTTGTCTGTGGGTGGCCTGGTTTGGTACAGGTGGGAGGAGAGCCACTTTACCATGAACAATTCTGCTCTAGTGCTTGGTTGCTCTACCGACTTGGCTGAGATTACTGACAATTATACTTTCTGGATAAAAAAAAAAAGTTAACCATGCCTTTGTATCCTTCCCCCCACCCAAGCGGGTTTAACTTTATTGTGAGTGTGACCAATAATCATCCCCCCCCCTCCTAGTAACACTCTTACCCTGTGGACCGTGATGTCCATGTGGGAGCTCTTGTCCTTCCCTTGCACGTGGAGCTGCAAGCTTCCCACCTCATCACCCTCCTTGCTGGTCGTCTCCACTACACAATCTAGAGGGGGAAATACGTCCATAAAGAAACGTTAGACGTTTAGGAGGAAGGATGATGGTTGGGCGGAGGAAATCAAAGCAGAGGAGCAAGAAGGCCGGGGACGGGACAGAACATCTGGAACACCAGCAGCAAAGATCAGAAAGCGAGACAGACTCGAGGGGCTACAGGGTGGAAACAGCACGATTCCCTGCCTGCCAGCTTACCAATGATATCGGCCACCCCCAGGCCCAGCCTGCGGGGAGTGGCATCAGGTGCAAGTTCGCGGTCCTGGAGCAGGAGTAGTATTCTGCTTGGATGAACCTTCAGCGTCTGTCCCATATGTTCAACCACCCGCTGAAGGCGGTCTGTCTAGGAAAGTAAGAACACTGGTTTTTTAGCATGCAGAGCACCAAGGAACAACCATGGCAAACCAGGAAGATCCAGATCAGTATGTATCTCAGATCCCCAATTTTCCTACAGGTTTGCGCAAACATTCACAATTTTGCAGCAGCTGTAGAGCAATGTGCCAGCAGTTTCACTGATGTTGGGGGGCGGTGGTCCTTCTAACCCTCCCCCCCCCCCCTGAGCAGAGCAGTTCACATCCTGAGCAGAACAGAACTGCTGTAATCTTAAAATGGGCCTGTATAGGTCTTTGCCCCTCAAGCCAGTCCAGGGATGAGGGGAAGCCTGTACTTTTACAGTACATTAAACAACCCACAGAGGTAGGCTACCCTCTCTGGATTCAGAACAATATGCCACCAGAACCTCTACAATAATCCCCCTCCCAACCTGAGATTAGAGGTTCAAAATCTCAGTTGGCATCTAGGGCTTAACGCATTAGCACCTCATTCCCAGAGAGGCACACTGAATGCTCTATGGTAGCTTGTGGTCACTTAGGCACAGGAAACAGACTTGGAATCCCAGTTACAATATCAAAGACAGGTTAGAAATAAGAATAATTTTGTATTCAGTCCAGAGCACTGCAAGTAAACTATGAAAGATTTCAAAACAAGAAAGGCTAGGGCTGTTTGCCATAACTACACAGTAAAAGATACATATTTACCAAGTTGAGGAATATCTAAACATCCAAGGGATTTTGAAGGCAAAATCCATCTTTGCTCAACCATGTGGTCCAATTCACAAAGCCAGTCCTTTGTCTCTTCAAAGGACAGCATTTCCAGGTGCAATAAACAAGCACAGAGCAGGAACAGAACAGAGAGTCTCTCCCATAGGGAATGACCAGTTATAGGCCAATTCCAGTCACAAATTAGCCCTGGCCAGGAGCCAATTGCGAGTGGGAATGGGAGTACCCAAGATTTGGTTGTTATGGCTATATGTGGGGATAGGCTAGAGGTTTGGAGACCACGCCTGCAGTCACATGGCCCCAAACTCCAGCTTCTCCATCGGCTATGTGACTTCTTGCATGTGGGCCTAGTGGGGTGCCTCACAGTCTAGCTTCTAGCATGGAAGTGTGAAGAATGTGGGTTTATGGCATGGCTATGGAGGCCATGTGGCCCACCATTTGGCGGGTAACAGGAAATAAGGCACAGCCTGTTATCAAAAGACAGAACAGGAGAAGGCATGAGGCTTTTAGAAATCAATATTTCTATACAGGGCCATGGGCAGATTGCTGCTGAGTGGGGCTTTCTGGTTAGTGAGCTTCCCGTGCTCACATGCACAGCTTAGAGGGAACAGTGGCTGTAGCTCTGCCTGTTCAGGTGGATGCCAGTTGCAGAAAACTGACAGTTAGGAGAGGCACCTGAGGAAAAGGGGAGAAGGCAGGTAACTGAACAGAGAAAAGAAAACGAAAGAAGTGCCTTTCATTCAAGAATCTCATAGGGGATTACAATAACCTCATATTTTCTTTTTGCCGTCAAGTCGCAGAAAACGTATGGCGACCCCATAAGGCAAGAGATGTTCAGAGAGGTGGTATGCCACTGCCTGCCTTTGTGTAGTGAGCAACCTCGGTATTCTCTGGTGTTCTCCTATTTAAATACTGACCAGGGCCAACCCGGCTTAGCTTCCAAGTTCTGATGAGATCGAGGAACCTGGACTATCCAGGTCAGGGCAACTGCATCCTACTGTTACCTAATCAGCTCAATATTTGTTACTGGGGTTCGTTAGCTATATTTACTGTTACTAATCATTTATTCAAAAACGTGAAGTTTTTTTAGTATATTAATGTGATTAATATAGTTACTGTATATATTAGCATATTATACTGTAATGATTTCATGTTTAACTGTGTGTATGTGTCTTTAAAAGTTTGGTTGCATGCCTGTGTGATAGTCTAGTGTGATTGAAACAGGCAAGTGGTGTGAGTGGTGAGTGACAGAGATTCTGGAAATGGTTTTGGAAATGATTCTGTGTGGATGAGCAGATATGTCAGTCAAGAGTGTTAGTTAGTGAGATGACAGTTGAAAGTCAGTTAAGTTCTGTGACAGGGAGAAGAGTGAAGCATCCCTGTGTGGGATGAGTTTAGTTCTGGGGTCTGAAGGAGAGACCTTCTTGTGTGTGATATGAGAGTTAAGTGCTGTGTCTGAAAGAAAGTGACAAGCAGTTCTGTGTTGAAACAGTTATAAGCTGAAGCTGAGTGTCTAGGAAAAAGTAAAGATTATATGGACATGAAGGAAAAAGTGTTACAAAGTTACCTAAGGAAAAATCCCTGTCAGTAGGGAGCAGACTGTGTGTTATACCTACTTTACTAGTTACATGGATCTACCCTCGTATTTATGCTTTCTTTAAATAGATCCTATTTCATTCAAGTATACCAGCTCTAGAAAGAATCCTTCCTCAAACCACATGGTTCCTCAAAAGCTCTCGATCCACCTACCCTGTTATAGAAATAGTAAAGCATAAAGGTTTGGAAAGCCTTATAAATTTCCTGGTGGCAGCCGGATATACAGAGTAAAACAAAACAGAAAGAACATTTTAAAATAAAACCAGACCTCCCCAGTTAAGGGGACGTCACATATACGTTACATCATAAATATGATATTTCCGGCATGCTGCCAGACTGACTCGAAAGCCAGTGTGTGCCAAAGCAGCAAGAATGGCCGATGAGGAGCTGAGAAACCTGCTTCAGCTCCCCACCCACCCACGAAGCTCACCATGCAGGGTTGCCGCGATAATGAAATGAAGGAAAAGAGGTGGATGCTTCTCTCAGCTTCCTTGGAGGCAGGAGAGGATTTAAAATGTTCTAGACAGATAGAACCATGATTTCCTGGAGGCCTAGAGTGGCTGTGGGCAGAAGGAAGAAGCCATGGGGGAGAGAGGCCCGGGAGCAGTGTTCCCTCTAAGCTGAGTTAGTGTGAGCTAGCGCACCGTTTTTTAGCCTCCAGCTCACACATTTCTGTCTTAGCTCAGGAAGGATGGCTCCAGAGCAGACTAACTTATGCAGCAGCCAAATCGCTCGCTCAGAACTTTAATGCCAGGAGCTCACAAAGCAGAGTTTTTGCTCACAAGACTCCACAGTTTAGAGGCAGCATTGCCCAGGGGGTGAGTATGTGGCAGAGGAAAGGAAGGACAGAGGAATAGATATGCCAGAATGGCGACAGCAAAGCTGAGATAAATGATGGCAAAGGGAAAGACTGGATACCAAGGAGGTCTCACCATCCGAACGGAAACTCTGTAGAGATCGGCCCGGCACCGGATCTTCAGGACCAGCTCCTGGGCTTCTGAAGGCTCAGGTGAGTCAATCAGGATGACATCATCCCCATCAGAACCTGAACCTCCATCCTGTAGGCTCTTCTTGGCAGCTGAGAGGGTGGATTTCAGATTTCTGAGCCTTTGGTCAAGACTTCTGCCCGGGGGAGGGGGAGGAAACCAGAGTGAGAAACCCTTCATCTGAACACTGAGATAATCAGTCCCTCTTAGGGTGAAAATAGCTCTGAATTGCACGGGTCAGTGGTCAGAGGACAGGAAAACCAGAACTCAAGCTAGATCTCTTGTTCACAGACTCCCTAGAGGGGGCGGAATACATCACTCTTTGCCCAAGCTCCCCCATCTTTGAAATTCAATCTGTGGTGACCTACCTCACAGGGCCATTGTGAGGACACAGACTGTATGCAATTCAAATGGTATAGAGCTACACAATGATAAGAGAATACACGTCCCTCTCACCCAGTGTTCAAATCACAGGAGTCTACAAGAGATCCTGGATCTACCTTTTGTAATGTCCCTCACAATTTTTGCTCTTGGGAAGCTACTGGAGGCGAGGCAAAATGGTGTGCAGGCAGGGAAGACGGCAGACTTCGTTAACAGCCCACCTGCTTACCCCCAACGAGGTCCAAATCCCACAATGAACTTCAGGAGAGGACCCAGATGCCTCTGGCTCTCTTTTCAAACCAACGCAACATGAAACCTCTGAACCTGTACAAGCCGCAGCAGGTACTTTCAAGTCAGACCACACAAGCAAAAGGTGCCTCACATCATCCAAAATAGGGTTAGGGCTTCACAGAAATCACGAGCCTACAGCAGACCCCCCCCCCTGGCTTTTCCAACAATCTTGGAGTTCCCCTCTTTCCTCTCCTTTCCCAACATTCCATATACCCCCCTCCCCTTCCAAAGGACCCCAACCGCTTACTGGGCTCCGTGGCACTGTCTCCGTGTCCGTGGTGGAGGCGGAGGGGATGGTGACGGTGGCGAAAGTTGACATCTGTTGATGGGAATACACAGGGGTCGTTTCGTAGAAAAAGAGCTAGGGGAACTCATTAGCATTACTCATTAGCATATGCCACACCCCCTGACATCACCGGAAGTGTGTCATAAGGCCACACCCCCTGACATCACCGGAGGTGTGTCATAAGGCCACACCCCCTGACATCACCGGAGGTGTGTCATAAGGCCACACCCCCTGACATCACCGGAGGTGTGTCATAAGGCCACACCGCCCCCCGTACCTCACCTGGGGGAACTGCGATCCCCCGCGATCCCCCCCCCAAAATGACCTCTGGGAATACACAGATGGGTGTTCATTGGGGGTTGCAGGTAAGTGGGCCAGAGGAGTGGGGAAGAGAAGGAACCCAACCTTTTTTCTTCCTCTGTGGGAGATACTGTCACCGCTTCCGCTTCCTCCTCCTCCTCCTCTTCATCTGATGCACCCTGGGGCATGGAAGACACTAGCGGGGCTTGAACCGGCAGCTTCAGAGATTCAGGGAACAGCTGGAGGCTGTTCTGAACCTGTGTGATGTAGTGGCAGAGGAAAAGACTCAGGGTACTGAGATTCTGGCAAGAAAGCTAGCAAGAAGACAGAGCTGGCCACCAGTGTTCCCTCTAAGCTGAGTCAGTGTGAGCTAGCTCACCGTTTTTTCGCCTCCGGCTCACACATTTTTCTCTTAGCTCAGGAAGGATGGCTCCAGAGCAAACTAATTTATGCAGTGGCCAAATCGCTCACTCACAAATTTCATGCCAGTAGCTCACAGAGTAGAATGTTTGCTCACAAGGCTCCACAGCTTAGAGGGAGCATTGCTAGCCCCTAGAATAGACAGGAAGCAGCTTTGTAAGAGGAGGTGATTCGTTCACTGTGGGGCTGGAGGGCTACTGGGGTTCTCTCTTCCCCTCAGCAGAGACCATAGTGCTCAGGCAGTGTTCCTGGGTCAAAATGGCAAAAAGCAGCACGGTGAAAGGAAGGGCGCCCTGTTTTTCTGTACAACAACAAGAGACGGGAGAAGTAGGGGAAACCTCTATGGCACTCTATGAGACAAAATTCCAAATTACATGCATTCAGGTATTTGTAGACCAGCTCCTTTCATTATAGCGTAAACCCTTTATCTGACAAAGCAGGCTCTGCTGCACGAAAGTTTACATCCTAGGAAAGTTGCAATCTTATGTACTTGGGTTGCCAAGCCTCCAGGTGGGGCCTGGAAAGGAAACCTCCCGGAATCACAACGCCTCTCCAGATCAAAGAGGTTAGTTTCCCTTCAGAAAAGGGCAGCTTAGGAGAGGGGGGTGTCTCTATGGCATCACACGCATCTCTGCTGAGGGGAAATCTCCCGGAATCACAACGCCTCTCCAGATCGAAGAGATTAGTTTCCCTTCAGAAAAGGGCAGCTTAGGAGAGGGGGGTGTCTCTATGGCATCACACGCATCTCTGCTGAGCTTCCCCCTCCCGGTCCCTAAACTACGCCCTGTCCGGGCCCCACCCCCAGATCTCCAGGAATTTCGCTATCTAGAACTGGAAACCATATACAACTCGACCGAATACAACGGAACTTTCTTCTGCTCAAACACGCATGGGCTTAGTGTTGTAAAAAATGTCACGTTCCACGCACCTTATTGGAGTAGACCGGGACGGCTAGGACTGCTGCGTCCGGGAAGAGGCGGCGGCGCTTGGGGAGCGGCTTCTTGGGGGGTCCCTCCGGCTCTGAGTCGCTGCTGGGGCAAGAATCCAGCTAGGGAGCAAAGAGGAGAGGGGATTAACGAAGGGGTCGCCTAAGGATGCTTCCCGGGTCCTTCCTCCACCCCCTCCGTCCCTTGCCTATTTACCACCACCTCCGCCATGGCAGGACGCGCTTCTCCTAATTGGTTTCACTAAATCCGCCCACCCGCCTTCTGATTGGGCTCCACCCTGCCCTGCTTCTGCGCCCCACCCCGTGCCCCAGTACAAAGGAAAAGTTCACCCGTAGGGAGCTTGAGGAAGGTATTTGGCCGGGGCGCGCAAAGGATCCCGGGGAGTGTAGTTTTTCTTTTCTCCAAGTCCGCTGCCTGCCCGCTTGAAGCGTTTTGGAGAGCTGGTCGGGGAAACTGATGCGGAGTCCGTCCGAAGACTAACAAAACGTATTGCAGCAGCATAAGCTTTCGTGAGTTCCGGGCATCTGAGGAAGCGAGTTAAGACGACTCGGGAAAGCTCATGCTGGAAAACAAAATTGTTAGTCTCTATAGTACTTCCCAGGTTCTGCGGTGGCTGAAGTGGTTAAGACGCTGAACTGCAGGCTGTGGAAGGTCAGTAGTTCAGCAGTTCGAGACCCGGGTGCCGCATGATGGAGTGAGCTCCCATCTCTAGTTCCAGCTCCTGCCAACCTAGCAGTTCCAAAGCAAGAAATTGCAAGTAGATAAATAGGTACCACTTCGGTGGGAAGGGAACAGCGTTCCGTGCGCCTTGGTGTTTAGTCATGCCGGCCACATGACCACGGAAACGTCTTCGGACAGCGCTGGCTCTTCGGCTTTGAAACGGAGATGAGCACCGCAACCCTAGAGTCGGATTCGACTGGCTTTCCAGCAAGGGAACCTTTACCTTTATAGTACTTCCCTACTCCAATTTAATTTTGCTGTAACTGGTTAATATGGCTGTCTTAGAAACAGAGAGGGGTTATGTGTGAGTAAAGGCGGGCGATTCTGTCTTCATTTCAGCCTTGCATAAAAAGGAGAGAAAGAGAGCGAGCGACGTCTTTTTAGGTTTGAAAAAGGATATAGTCGAGGTTAATATGGCTGTCAGAAACAGAGGGGTTATGTGTGAGTAAAGGTGGGCGATTCTGTCTTCATTTCAGCCTTGCGTAAAAAGGAAAGAGAGCGAGCGACCTCTTTTTAGGTTTGAAAAAGGATATAGTCGTCTCTGTATTTATTAGATTTTTAAATTCGATTTCTGTACCACACCAATAACTTTCAAATATTCCCGTGACATAATTGTGGTAATCGGGTGCAGCAAAACCAAAATGCAGTGTCGTGGTATTTTGTAAAAGAACGGATTTATTGAAGCATCAGATGCACGGAATGAATTTTCAGTTGGCAGGTTAAGTATTGGGGGGGAGCTGAAGTTTTTCATGACATGAAGAGTAAGTTTTTTATACCCTGCTTTTCTCTATCCTAAGGGAAGGTAACAGCGTTCCGTGCACCTTGGTGTTTAGTCATGCCGGCCACATGACCACGGAAACGTCTTCGGACAGTGCTGGCTCTTCGGCTTTGAAACGGAGATGAGCACCGCAACCCTAGAGTCGGATTCGACAGTCTTTCGAGCAAGGGAACCTTTACCTTTACCTTTTAAGCAGTCTCAAAGCCGCTTACAATCACCTTCTCCTCCCCACTACAGGCACCTTGTGAGGTAGGTGGGGCTGAAAGAGTTCTGAGAGAACTGGGAATGGCCCAAGAGGTCACCAACTACACTATACTGACCAATGCTCCCTCTAAGGTGTGGATTCTTGTGAGCAAAAATTCTTCTTTGTGAGCTCCTGCCATTAAAGTTGTGAGCGAGCCATTTGTCTACAGCAGAAATGAGTCTGCTGTGGAGCCCCATCCTTCCCGAGCGAGACACAAATCTGTGAGTTGGAGGCTAAAAAACTGTGAGCTAGCTCACACTAACTCAGCTTAGAGGGAACACTGATACTGACTCTCCTGGTGCTACTGCTAAGTAACATTGCATTCAGCCTCTGTAAAAGGTCATATTTTCCCCTCCAGGCTGTTAGGTCAAGGTTTCCCTTGCTCGAAAGCCAGTCAAATCCGACTCTAGGGTTGCGGTGCTCATCTCCGTTTCCAAGCCGAAGAGCCAGCGCTGTCCGAAGACGTTTCCGTAGTCATGTGGCTGGAATGACTAAACACAAAGTCGGACAGAACGCTGTTACCTTCCCACCGAAGTGGTACCTATTTATCTACTTGCAGTTTCTTGCTTTCGAACTGCTAGGTTGGCAGGAGCTCTAGTCATATATGAGAAATGTTTCAGGTGAGTAGCCATGTTGGTCTGAAGAAGCAGAACAAAGTTTGAGCCCAGTGGTACCTTTAAGACCAACATAGTGTTATGCTGGGTGTAAGCTTTCATGTGCATATGTAAGAAATGGTGACTGTGCAAACACATTCCCGTTAGAACCAGTGTTAGCAGTACCTCTTATAGCGCTGTTCCACTTAGCATTCTGTTTTCAGGAGCATAATCACAGTGTTAAAGGTGGTCTTACTGTACACCACGGTATAAATCATGCGCCTTGAACTGGAAAGTCTGACAGCCAGACTCCAGCACTTGATGTGCCGCCAAAGTTGCAGCCTGCCAGAGGAGGGAGATGTAGGTACATCAATCTAGTCGGCTGCTGCACAGAACTGTTATAACAATAAGCATCATTAAAGGTTTAGACAACATCAATTTCAAAGGTAAACCTTAAACACCCAACAGGCTTTAATCCAGTCTGGTAGAAGGTGTACAGGCATCCCCCCAGATCCTATGAGCATTTGAGATCAATATTTTGGAAATGTCATCAAGCCTATGTGACACTTGCTGAAAAATTTCTGTATAAAACATTTTCAAAACGTGGTTCATTGACAACCTATCTGTGATGTGTCAGGATGGATGGCTGTGTTAAGTCTTTAAGGTTTTATCCTGTAATGTGCACATGAAATGTGAAACATTAAAAAACTGTAAGAAAGAATGCTTATGGATGTATTGATTGTGATTTGCCAAAACAATGGTTTTGGACTGCCTGTAATAATGAAAGAAAAAGTGTTTAATGTAATAATTTCCTTTCAATTTATGAAACCTGTTTCTTGTGCTTGGAAAATAACAATAAAAAGAAAATTTAAAATAAAAAAAGTTAAAAATGAATGAATGAAATTAATGATTTCTTAAGTCTAAAATCATGCTGGCTAGAACTAATAATGCAAGCAACTCAAGTTAATTCTTCTTATTCCTTATTCACCAGAGGAAAAAACCCCTGTGAGGCTCAGCAAGAGGGGAATCTTGAATATCAAAGCTTACTGCTAATATATTTTTAATTCAAAATAAACTGAGGGAGGATAACTATTTGTGCTGGCTACAGTGGGAGTTGTTCGAAGATAAAACTGCCGTGGGCTCGGCTACTGACCTTTGCAACTGTCTGACCTAGGATTAAAACCTGTTGGGTGTTTAAGGTCTACCTTTGAAACTGATGTGTTCAAACAGTTCTGGGAAAGATATTACAATCCGTTGCCTAAACCTTTAATGATGCTTATTGTTATAACAGGTCTGGGAACAGCTGTTGAAAAGCAGTAAACATCTAATGTAAGAAAATTAAGTATAATCACCCTTGCATATGCTATGTCTTCCATGGAGCCCCAACCCCCCCAATGAAACAAAGTGATGATCTCTCTGTCCTACTTCGCAGGGCCGGCGCAGGCTAAAATTTCCAAAAACTGGGGTAAACTCTAAATCATTATTTAGAAGTTAAGAGAACTGGAAAGTTTTCAACCAAACCATCAATAGTAGCATAGTTTATTCGAAACAGGGAGGGGTTTTTGTGCAACCATTACACTTTTTTTTATATACAAAACCTTTCATTTTTACCAGTTACTCTTTTTACATTGCATGCACACATTATAGGAAAAAGAGTCCAGCAGCACCTTAAAAACTAGCACAGCTACTCATCTTGTACATCCTCACTGCAGGCAACTTTGTGTGCAGCACAGCAGACCCAGCAGCAGCAGGCCCGCTGCAGAACAGTTCTACCCTCTCCCATTTTAAAGACAAGCCCCCGCCCAAGCATAGCATGTTCATAGGCACATTTAAATGTCGCTGCATACTCCCTATCCGACAGAGGGCACCCCCAAAAATAAAAATTGGGGTACCCCCGATCACTCCTAAAAGGTGCCTAGAGGTCCATCTCCCTGAGACGTGTCACCCCAAAACTAAATAAAGTGTTGGTCGGGCTGGCCTACCTTGCAGGGCTGGCGTGGGGAAAAATGCCAAAACAGCTCCTGCTGTCCCCAAAATTTCCAAAAACACCCTCTAGCTCGCCCAAACTGCTCCTGCTGCCCAGGGGCTTCTCAGGGAGGCCAGGGGCGGTCTAGAGCACTAGTTTGCACTACAGGCTGGCATTTTTGTGTGCAGATTTTCAGAGCGGTAAACCTTTAATCTTGACTTTGGATTCTGTGTCCACCTTACTCACCATTCTTTTCCCACTGGTGTCTTTATTCTGCAGCTACAATCAAAACAACACGCTTCTCCGATCCATGGGGGTCGCGAAGAGTCGGACTCGACTGTGCGACTGAACAACCACCACCCCCTAGTAAAGGGGAAATGGTGATCTGGGTAGTTGTGCATTTGTTCTCTAGACAAGCTCACTTTATCCCGTGTAAACATCTACCCACAAAGCTAAAGCACTGGCTAAACTGTTCATGCATCACACTGTCAGATTACATTCAGTGCCCAGTAAAATAATCTCCAACTTGGGAGCCCAGTTTGTTGCCAAATACCGACTCACCTTTCTTAGAAGCCATCCACAGCACGGTAGTAAACGTTTGCCAAGTGAAGTGCATCAGGCCATTCCCCCCCCATAAAACCTCATCAAACTCCTAAGATCCCAGGAGAAACTCTGGAGAGCCAGCTTAGTGTAGTGGTTAAGAGTGGCAGACGACTCTAATCTGGAGAACTGGGTTTGATTCCCACTGCTCCTCCACATAAAATGACCAGGGGCGGCTAGGGGTCTCCAGCAGCTGCAACGTCCCCGGGGGTTTTCCGGGTCGTCTTTTCCCCATAAGACACATTTGGCATGACCGTACGTATTGAGATATGTCTGCATGCATGTGGGGCCACCAGAACTGGCATTGCAAGAGGTGCAAAGTCTTTAAATAACCGAAATGTCCAGCCGGTTTGGATTCATGCCTGAAATGCAATACTTCCCCCCGCAAGGCCTGCAGCACAAAAAGCTTGTCTCCCTTATACCAACATCAAGTTCAGCTTTGTCCTCTTCCGTAAGGGCTCCTTTAAATTTGGTCAACCACGGCTCTTTCTCTCCCCGCCCAGCTGTGAGGGCATGAACATAGAGTCTACCACCTCCTCCCATTGACTAGCATGCTGGGGGAGGCGTGCCAATGTGTCGGCAAGGAAGTTTGATTTCCCGGGGTGCTGCAGGGTGAATTGAAACTTAGAGAAAAACTCCGCCCACCTGAGCTGCTTAGCATTCAGGTTGCAGGGGGTTTGCAGCGCCTCTAGGTTTTTATGATCAGACCTCAAAAGGCACCCTCACCCCCTCCAACCAATGTCGCCAGGTGGTAAGGGCCAACTCAATGGCCACCGTTTCCTTGTCCCACACAGCCCAATTACGTTCAGTGGCACTGAATTTTTTCAAGACGTACACCAGGGGGTGGAGTTTACCATCCTCCCCTTTTTCGAAAACCCCCCCCCCCCCCCGGCTACCTCCAAGGCATTGACCTGCCTGAACCACTAATCTTTTATTTTCACCAGGAGGGTGTTCAGAGGTGAATAGTTCTTTTAATTTATCAAAAGCTTGTTGGCACTCCGAGGTCCAGGATATCTTAGCCCCTGGTTTAGTACTATCTTGGCCCGGGTTTAGTACTATCCTGGTCTTTAGCAAGTCTGCTTTTCCTTCTTTCCAGTAACAGAGGGGAACCCATGCCTTTTGGGGAAGGGGCATGCTTGCAAGCCCTGGTTGCTTTGCTCTGGGGGCTTGCGGGGGGGCTGTCTGGCTGGGTGAGGTGGGGGGGGGCCTCAGGGAACCATCTGCCTCAGGGGGGAGGGGGGACACCTCACACAGTCATTTCTGCACTAAACAATGTTTGCACAATGTACAAAAATCCCACAGGATTGCCAATTCTCTGTTTCAAAAAATACAAGTTTGCAGTAAGCATACACACAAACTGACAGCCATTTCTCTTTTAGGCTCACCCACCCTCCCGCTGTACAAAACAACGGCAGCCATTTTCGCCAGCCTCCTTCCCAGCAATCCCTCCGCACAACCCTAACTCCTCCTCCTTCTCTATTCAATGGCGGCTCAGCAAATAGGGGGGAAACTGGAGGAGGTTGGGACTTCGGGGGGGGGGATGGTGGGACTTCCGGCTACAGAGTCGGGGAAGAACACCTGTTGTCTGGGGCAGAACTCCATGGCAACTTTCCCTCAGTATGAATATATATACACACACACACATACACAAAAGCCACATCCCTCAGTGTGTATATACACACACACACAAAAGCCACATCCCAAGACAGACAATATGCATTTTTCCCCCCACAGGGGCTGAAGGCAGTTTGAAAAAGTGATTGCTGTACATTTGTGTACACTCATCCCGCCGTAGCTTTTGATAGTCACTTCTGTACACACCCCTTTCTACAGGAGCTTGATGTGGCCATTTCTGCTCTGCTTCTTCCTCGGGCCTTTCCTCCTGACCGATCTGTCTCCAGTTTTTGTGCTGATGTCTCCTCTTTTCCTTCATCCACAAACCCCATGCTGCATACAGCTTAAAAGAAAACATTTAGGCATCTAGCATATTCATCTGATTAAATATTAACTTGGTGACCTCCTTTTTAAAAACGCCAATCTGTTGGATTATTTATTTTAGACATGTACAAACCCACACACAAAACTGCCTTATATTGAATCAGACCATTGGTCAATCAAGGTCAGTCTTGTCTTACTTAGACTGGCAGCGGCTCTCCAGGGCCTCGGGTCAAGGCCTTTCACATCACCTACTGCCAGATCCTTGAACTGAAGATGCCGGGGACTGAACCTGGGACTTTTTGCATGCCATGCAGTGGCTCTTCCACTGAGCCACAGCGCCTCTCTGACAACTGAGATCCAGACTTGAAATATTGCTGTGGTGGCGGTGGGGAGCTGGCTGACAAAGAAGGGAAAATAGTAGCAATTGCTCGGAAATCATTATGGCATATTTCATAATAAAAACATATAACAAGAGGAATTCACCCCCATCAACAGCACTTCTAGGAACAAATCTAGTTCCCCTGGGGCAGAGGACGACAGCTTTACCTCCAAGAATAGACACCCACTGAATTGTCCAGGGCTAACAGATTTGCCATCACTGCAGAGGGGTCAGGAGCTGGGCTGCCCACCCAAATATTAGCACTTTACTCTGAATGCCACCAAAACAGCTTGCTGAATAAGGAGCCACAGATGCATAGAGTCTGTTAGCGGCACCCCTCGAGATTCAGTGAAGCAGTCTGTCTCAGACAGCAGATTGCTAGGGAACCACAAAGGGTTTCACATCACATCTTACTGTCACAGTCATTTTTGGGCTTCTTCTGATTCAGGACTCAGGCGGTCCTTGCTTTTGGTATCTGGATACGACTTATTCTTGCCTACAAAGGAAGACGGGGATGAAGTTAGCACTGTGATTCGCAACCGCCCCCCCCCCCCCCCCCCCCCCATTTTCCAGCCTGTGTGACCGGAGCCATAGTTAGGCAGGCAGCCTGGTTTCATTCTTGCCCCTCCTCCAGCTTTGCTGCCCACATTACCATCACCACCCCAAAACCACAATCCCAACCTCTTGCAGAAATACCGACTCACCTTTCTTAAAAGCCATCCACAGCATGATTCCACCTGCGACGGAAAGCAGCATCCCGAGGACGAACACTATCCAAGGCCAAACAGCAACGGTCCCTACAGCAGAAGCTGGAGACGTAGGGACAGGTGTGGGTGAGCATGAACAAGGTGTCCCTTCTGTCCCTGAACTCTGGGGGTGCTGGGGTGTAGGGCAAGTTACTCCTTCACCTTCACCTTTCGGTTGCCAATGGGCTGTCATCTCCAGCGGCTTGTCCCAGGCTTTGTGTTGCACCTGGCAGACGTAGCTGACTCCACGGTCCATCTCTTTGGGCAGGATTATGCTCTGCATGCCGAATGTCCCATTGGGCAGTATCTGGGGTTTAGATTCTACCTGCTGTTGAGGCACCCCATTTCGCAGCCAATGAACGCGAACATCTTGGGGGTAGAAGCCACTCACCAGGCACTCCAGCACCTCAAGGGTGTTACTCAGCACCACTGTGGAAACCTGAAGGCTTGGGAGAGCTGTCAGAAGAGAACACACATTCTAGACCCTAGGTAATCAACTACAGTGAGATGTAAAAAGCCTACAAAAGTTCCTTGAAAATCTAATGACAGCAACCAGAAGAATACTTAGACTGAATCTGCACAAGCACATCAAGTGCATTTCACCCCTTCTACCACTGATGGGGCACGCATGTGAGTTTTAAATTCACTTATACCTGGTTTTGGAACTGACAAATAGCCATGCAGAAAAGGTGATTGCTTTACGATGCATGTGTGATTTCGGCCATAATAGCAGGCCATATCGGCATAGTAACTCTTGAACCCAGAGTTCAAGAACACCATAAAGAACAGGCATACAGTCTTTATTGGCACACTGTAAGGAAGAGACCGCTTGTATGTAAAACAGCAACACTGAAGAACTGAACGAGGGCAGGAGGGGGAAGATCGACCTTGCAAATCATTGCGGGAACTGCCCGGTTTTTAGCTTCGCAAGATCTGCACAGCTGAGATATCTTAATTAACAGCTGGATAGAGGGGCAGCATCTTAACAGGTCCGAGGATAAAAGCCAAAAAGGTGTATGTGTGTGGGGGAGGAAGCGTGCGCTTTTGGGTCAGGGAGAGCGACCAAAGATGCATTCATCATTTTTAACAAGGTGAACACCTGCATTGTAAGGCTGAAACACAGCCAGGTAGCCTCTTGTTTGCCAAAGGGTTGATAAATGACTGTTCAAACAAAGAGATTTAAACTGAGCATTGCAAATGATGTCAACAATGATGTAAAGTTGGGAGGAGCAAGAAAAGGATATAGGCAACATCCCTGCTGTTACTCACTGGACATCTGAGCTGAATTTTGGGCTGTAAGATGTCCCTTATTTGAATAAAACTTTTTTTCTACCCTTTACTGCCTGGAATTGTCTGTCTCACTGTGCGGTTTATTGGCTAGCCACACAAGTCAAAGAACCTTTTTTTATTATATTATGGCCCTGAACCAGATCCAGTTAAAAAACAAACACTATTCAGATATTCAAATATACAGATTAAAAACTCTGATTAAAATACAGGAACAGAAGATTTTGCAATAAGTAAACGGATTTATATTATATTAAAAGGAGAAAAGTCAAAGAACCTTAGCACCCTCAGAGCATTGCCTTCACTACAATGGGCCCTAATCACTGGAGTCTTTTGGACCTTGGTGTAGCATGTTATTCCCCTATGAATGGGAGCAATTCACGGTCTCTAAGGGCATGCTGCGGTGTATGGAGCTGCGGTGGCTCAAGTGGTTAAGACGCTGAACTGCATAGTCATGCCGGCCACATGACCACGGAAACGTCTTCGGACAGGGCTGGCTCTTCGGCTTTGAAACGGAGATGAGCACCGCAACCCTAGAGTCGGATTCGACTGGATTTCAAGCAAGGGAACCTTTACCTTTACTAAGGGCAAAACTACATGTTATATCAGGACTCCTGAGTAGCCACAGTGGTGGTGGTGTTTTGGATTGGGGATACAGTCCTGAGGAAGGAGGTAAACCTCTTTCCCACGTGCCGTTTCCCCAATCAAAACTGCCCTCCTCCCTCCCAAGCCACTATTAGATCCAGTAGGGGAAAAGACACATTATGCTCCTTTTGCCTGTCCCCCCCCCCTACTAAGCTAGTGTTTTAAATTTTATTCGGGGCATTTTAGCCCATCTTTCTCCAATGACACTCAAGATGTGTTGCAATGATTTATCAGCTAGTCTGCCCCCAAGATAAATTTCAGCTTGTCTATGGGTTTCTTCAGGGAAGACACCATAGCCTTGTTCTGCCTATATGTTATGTCCATCTTTTCTTAGGAAAGAGCCAATGTGTGTTCTCTATACAAATGAAACCAGGAAGCCATACCTGGATAAATATGGGGTTTGTATCACACATGCAGCCATACATGCGTTCACTGTAACATGAGAATTACTCAATGCACAAAGTCAAGTGTACACCATTACATGGATTGTACGTGCACTCACTGCAACTTATGAACAGAGCTTTATTGCTGGCATTTAAGTGGTGATCTTGACACTGGCTCACCTTGCCCAGATCTTGTAAGGACAAAAGGTGAGGAGTGCTTAGGAAGAGTGACATTACATCACCACTTGGTTTTAAACACTCCACAGCCTTCTAAATTCCTGTGTGTGCTAAGAGAGGCATCAGGGGAGGAATCACAGAATCATAAAGTTGGAAGGGACTTCCAGGGTCATCTAGTCCAACCTCCTGCACAATGCAGGAAATTCACAAATACCTCCCCCTCCACACCCACAGTGACCATTGTTCCACACCCAGAACATGACAAAAAAAACCCTTCAGGATCCCTGGCCAAACCGGCCTGGAGAAAAATCGCTTCCTGACCCCAAAGTAGCGATCAGCATTATCCTGGGCATGTAAGAAGGGCCACAAGAACTAAGCACTGAGGCAACCCTTCCTGCCCTCCCAATCATGATCTGCCTAAGTTCACACAATCCACATTGCTGTCAGATGGCCATCTAGCCTCTTTTTGAAAACCTCCAGAGGAGGAGAGCCCACCACCTCCTGGGGAAGCCTGTTCCACTGAGGAACCGCTCGAACTGTCAGGAAGTTCTTCCTAATGTTTAGCTGAAAACTCTTCTGATTTAATTTCATCCCATTGGTTTTGGTCTGACCTTCCAGGGCAACAGAAAACAACTCCGTACCATCCTCTATATGACAGCCCTTCAAGTACTTGGAGGTGGTTGTCATATCTCTCAGCTGGCTCCTCTCTAGGCTAAACATACCCAGCTCCTTCAAGCTTCCCTCATAGGACATGGTCTCCAGACCCCTCACCACCTTTGTTGCTCTCCTCTGGACATGTTCCAGCTTGTCTATATCCTTCTTAAATTGTGTTGGCCCAAAATGAACATAATACAAAACTGAACACAAGGAATGGGAGGATGGGATCCTCTGAACTGCGGGGCACATCCTGCGGAGAAGCCATACCACTGACTTGAGACATTACAGGACCAGGAGGACCTGGTGATCTTCCCACTCTGCAAGAAGATGTCAGGGTGACCCTGCTACAAGGCAGGACTGAGGATTTTCCTTCTTATGGGGTGGGGCAGCCTAGCTGGGAAGAGCAAAGGTGTGGGCTAGGGTGGTACTCCCATGTTTTGAGGCATAGGTTCTAACATGGATAAGCAGCTGGCGTCAAGGCTCCTGGTTTTTGGAGAGATTAGAGGAGTAATTAGTTAGTACGGAGATGGGGGAGGGCAAGTGCCAGGACCCCTGGGCTCCTCTGGAAAGGCTCTCCCTTACCTTGCAATTGCAGCTGGAAGTTTTCTTTGAGTGGGCCTTCGAGCGACTGGTGTCTGACCTGGCAGGAGAAGTTGGCATTTGCATCAGCAACGTCCGGTGTGAGTTCCAAGATGCTCCTGGCTTGGTACAGGCCACTCTGACTGTCCTGGTGAACCGATGTTTGGGGGCCTTTCACCACCGCACCATCTTTCAGCCACTCCACAGAGACATTCCCAGGGTAAAAAGCAGACACCGTACACGTGACAGCACCCTCACGGGCCAGCTGCAGCTTTGTGGGTCCGACTGCTACGTGAGGCTCAGCTGAAGGCAGAGAGGAAGGTTAGGAGGGGGGCTCATCCTCCAGAGGCCCACCTGAAGCCCCCCCCCAGCCCCAGAGCCCTTCCCATTCTCTCCCGAGTAGCAATGGACAAAGATGCTCTTTATGGATTTTCACTGCTAGAGTCCCCTTTTCTTTGGGTGGGGGTTTGCAAAAGTTCTTAAGCCATTATATGTGATGCATATGCAAATTATGCAGAAAAATAACATTAACATGCATAAATGTAATGGGAAACAGTGGGGAACCATCACTACAGACAATGCACCAAATGCGTCAAAATAAAGTAGTCAAAATAAAATAGTCATTTGCAGGGCTCCCTCTAAGCTGAGTTAGTGTCAGCCAGCTCTCAGTTTTTAGCCTCCGGTTCACACATTTTTGCCTTAGCTCAGGAAGGGTGGCTCCAGAGCAAACTCATCTATGCAGTAGCCAAATCGCTCACAACTTTAATGCCAGTATCTCGCAAAGTAGAGTTTTTGCTCACAAGACTCCACAACTTAGAGGAAGCATTAGATGGGGCTGCACTGAAGGACTGGGGCTAAGCCGTTCAGTAACATCTCTAGTCTGGATCCATCTCTGCAGCTTAGTTTGGAGGTGGGCAGGATGGTTCATCAATCAATCAATCAGTCCTTTATTGGCATATAAAACAAATAAGATGGAATACAGAATATAGCTATTTCCCTGTGAGGTCCTTTGGCCTCCCCAGTTCTAGTTCTCTCTCTCAAGGGATATCCAAAGGGGCCTCTTCTTTCAACTCAGCTTCAGCTACGGAGAACCATGAGAACAAGCGTATTGTGGAGTATGGGCATCTCATCTCTACCCTAAGCTTGCAAGGAAGCTCTGAGCAACCTGTTTTGGGGATCTTGCACAGCAATTCGGGGACCTTACAAAATTGGTGAAAATCATTAAATATGAAGGTCATGACCCCTCAAGTAAAGTGCTCTAGGCCCGGGCATGCATAACATATGGAATATATGTTTAATGGCAATAAAAGGCTCTGGACATTAGAAATGGCAATCATAAACAATGCCGAGAACAGGAGTTTTTTTAACCTGTTGGAACTGAGCATGCCTTGAGCATGCCTTGGAAGTACCATGGCTCAACAATAGAGCATATGCTCCATGCACAGAAGGTCTCCATCCTTCATATCAGTATCTCCATTTAAAGGCTCCCAGGGCCAATCCATGCGTTATTTATTTATTTATTTATTTATTTCAATTTCTATCCCGCCCTCCCCACGCGCAGGCTCCCGTTCTCCCGTTCCCCCCGGGTCTTGTGGATTGGGTGTGCATCTTTTTTCTGGGGGAACTCGCCAGAAAAGAGTTCTGGAACCTCTTCAGTATACAGATTGATAACTGCACTTAAGAAAGCAGTGGTTCGCCCTCTCTTGAAAAAGCCATAATTGGACCCAGCCGAATTGGCTAATTATCGGCCAGTTTCTAACTTGGCCTACTTGGGCAAGCTTATAGAAAGGGCTGTGGCAATACAGTTACAGGGCTTTTTGGATGATACTTCCTTCTTAGATCCCTTTCAGTCTGACTTTCGCCCGGGCCACAAGATGGAGACAGCACTAGTCGCCCTCACGGATGACCTTCAGAGGCATCTGGATCGGGGCGGATCAGCAGTGTTGCTGCTGTTAGACCTGTTGGCAGTGTTTGACATGGTCGACCATCAGCTACTGATCCACCACCTCGCCAACATCGGGGCTCATGGACTGGCCTTGCAGTGGCTTGCTTCCTTCCTCCAAGGTCGTGGACAAAGGGTGGCACTGGGGGGACCAACTGTTCCAGAGACACCCACTGGACTGGACTGTGGAGTGCCTCAAGGGGCAGTGTTATCCCTGATGCTTTTCAACATCTACACGCGCCCCCTTGCCCAGAGGCATGGCCTGGGATGTCACCAGTATGCAGATGACACCCAGTTCTATCTGTAGTTGGGCAGTCAGTGCAACTCCAAACCAAAGACCTAGACTGGGTGTTACAAGCCGTGCCTGGTTAGCTCAGACTGAGCTGGCTGAAACTGAATCCGATGAAGACGGAGGTCCTGTGCCTGAGCCGGGGCAGTCCAAGGATAGGGATCCCGCTCGGTGTCTGTTGTGGGGAGGGGAAGGGAAAGGAGTTTGTAAGCCGCTCTGAGACTCCTTTGGGTAGTGACGGGCGGGGTATCCAATCCAATCCAATCTCTTCTCTTCTTCTCTTCTTCTTCAATAGCATACCGAATTCGCTTCAAGGTGCTGGTACTTACCTTTAAAGTCCTACATAGGTAACTTATTGATATTGAGATGCAAGAACTTAGAAGTCTTGCCTCTGGTAGATGTTCCCCTTTGTGGTGAGGGATGTCCACTAATGGTGTTTTGGCTGAGTACTTCTCCAGCTTGACTATTTCTGAGCATCGAAGGGCATTTATGTTAGCTTGTTTTAATATTCTTCCCTCTGCGGTACTGTACGGGAGGTTTTAAAAAATGCCATACTCCTCTAGACTTTGTTCTTGCAGTCTGGGGGAGATAGAAAGTACTGAACATGTTCTCCTGCACTGTATATTTTACTGTGATATTCATGTCATATATCTAGAATCTCTGCTACAAATTTGCAAGGGTCAATCTGATGTTTGCAAGACGGTTTTTTTACTATCTTCCCATAACTCTGAGATCACTGATTTGGTGGCTAAATTTCTATGTTGTGC